AGGTGAACCCCCGCGGCAACCTCTGGGCCACAGGTACCGGTGGGGGTGGGGGGGACGGGGACACGGACACTCGTGTCGTCGAGCAGCCGTGGAACGCGGGCTGTGCAGGGGACGGCTCCCACCAGGAGACCCTGTGCCCTCCCATGGCTGCCTGTGAGGGGCCCCCTGCTCCCCTCAGTATCCCACCGGGTGGGGAGGCTGGGGCTGGGCAGGACCCGAAGACCAGGGCAGGGATGAGGCAACCTCTTCCCACAACCTTTGGTGACAGGTCTGGCATCTCTTTAACCCCAGAGATCCTATCAGCAGGAGGAGGAAGTTTCCCAAAGTCCCATGTGGAACCTGGGATTTCTCCTCGCTAATTTAGGTGTTAGGTTTGCTCTATGCTTCTTGTTGACTTGTGACAACATGAGGCAGCAGATACCACCTTAGCCAGAGCCCTTGCTTCTCTCCCCCGCAGGTGCTTGTGCAGACACTCAAGTGTGTTTGTATTGCAGGTCACTTCATGGGGAAGAAGAGTGTCACAGGCTCTCCACGCCTGGAGTCACCGGAGGAACCTGCTGTGCCAATGGTCTTTGGTCCCTCCCTCAGAGCCTTGCTGGAGGACATGATGGAACTGCTTACCCGTGAGCTCCTGAAAATCCTCTTGCAAGAGAGACTTTTGGATGAGAACCAAGGAAAATATGACCTCAATGACCAGGTGAATATTGACGAAGATGGAGGGGGTTGCTCAGAGTAAGGAGATGGTGGAGGTGTTAATATGCAACAGCCAGCCTTGCTGGAGATGGGAGCATCTGTGCAGCTGCTAGAGGTGTATTCCCTCCTTCTGCTCCTGTTAACCACCTCCTTAAACCACTTCCTAACACTAGCCGTAAAGGGGCAGAGGAGAAGCTTCCCTGGGCTTGTATCTAGCTGGGTAGTGGTTAATAGTCCCAAATGCTTGGGAAGGGTTTGAGGATGAAAGGATGAGCAAGGGATGCTGTGATGGAGCTATGGCAGTGGTGATATCCAGTACAGGGGTTGTTAATAAGCATCTGTGTCTTCCTTGGCCACATGCAAAAGAGGTTGGCTGGCCACTGTGGCTGCTGTGAAGAATTGTCTGTTTTCCAGCCTCTGAGGGGACAGGGAAATCCTTTCTCCTCCCTGTTTCTGTAGGGAGAGGCCAAGAGTGACACAGCTCTGTATGTGAAGGGAAAGGTGTCTGTTCTGCAAAGAGGTCTTGGGCTTCTGATGCCCCCACCTCAGGTCTGTGTTGCTGTGGTTGGGATCCCTTGTTACTGAGGAACATGTAGCTTTGTTAGCTCACCTTGCAGAGGGAGGTGTGTGTTAGTTAGAGTGAGTCCCGGGGAGCAGGCAGGAGCTCCAGCAGTCCTGCTGTGCATCAGCAGATCCTCAGCCTCCTCGGTGTGGCTTTTGCCTCCAAGCTCACCCAGCTCCTAGTGGAAAACCTGCCCCTGGGAGCAATGCTCACACACAGATCCTCACACAGGACATGGAGATGGAATTGCTCAATCTGTGTGGCTCAAGAGTTCTTGTCTGTATCCCCCTGCACACTTCCCTGGTGTGTCTCTCCCTTTCTAGTCACTGCAGGAAGTAACTGAGAGCCTAAAAGGGATTAAGCCCTCTTAGGTGGGTCCTACACGTGCTGTCTCACTGAGTTGCTGTGCTTGAGGAACTATCCCGTAACACTGCACACAGGTAAAGCTACTTCTGTTAGCCAGGTTTAGGCAGTGCTTGCTCCTATTTGCTTTTTTTTGGGGGGGCGGGGGAAAGCAGAGGTGGAGCAGAGTTGCAGGGACATGAGTTTGAGTGGCACTGGTTGTTCAAGCACCTTCTTGACTTGGTTTCAGCAGAATAAGGTAAACTGAGGCTTTCTGGAGAGCTGGTCTGTGGTGGTTTGACTGGGTTAGTGCTGGGCTGGCAGCCAAACCCAGCTGCTCACTCACTTCCCTCCACCCAGCAGATAGGGGAGAGAATTGGGGGGCAAGGGTAAGGAGACTTGTAGGGTGAGATAAGAACAATTTAATCATTGAAATAAAATAAAACTTAAAATAATACTGATATAATAATAGTAGTAGTAAAATATGTGAATGAGTGATACCCAATGCAATAACTCACCACCTGCTGACCAAGCCCAGCCCATTCCCAGATAATGGTCCCGGAGGAGCGACAATCCTGAACCGCAATCCCAGAAGAGTGAGAGCCCGAGCGAAAGCCAGAGAGAACAAGAGTGGAAAAGCCCCTCATGAATATCCTGCCCATGGGGGACAGGAGATGGAACAGCCCATTGGCAGAGCCAAATGCCAACTGAGCTGATTCATTTCAATATTCCTCACCCCCTTAGACCTTGCGCTTGCAGACTGACAAAGCACAAAGTCCTTCACTCCCAGTGACACAGCTGCAAACATGGGGATGTTCTCAGTGTTTCTCTCCTAACAAATCCCAGCTGAACCCAAACCCCAGCGCTGTTCGAGCTGCTGAAAAGAAACCAGCTCTGGCCCAGCTACAAACCAGGACATGGTCCCACTGGGGTAGAGGGTTTTCCACCATGAAGATAGAGCTGGACATGACTGAAGAGACCAGCCCACCCTGCTCCCCATGAGGCTGTGTGCTGCGACCGCTGCACTACTGCAGCTTTTGCTTCTTGGATGCAGCTGAAAGGGAGGAGAAGGTGATGAAGGTCCTGGACCTTTCTCCATCCTTCCTGAGGAGCCTTTGAGGAGAAGGGTATTTACTGCATTAACTACCCAAGATGATGGGAGAGCTGGTGGGTGTGCTGTCCTGCCTCATCTGCCAAGATGTTTGTGAGCGTATGGTGTGAGTTTGATAGAAGTGATCCTTGTGGCTCTCCTCTGTGTAGGTAAGTTCTCCTCTGTGTAAGTAAGTAGGTAAGGAGGTTCTCTCCTCTGTGTAGGTAAGCTCTTCAACATCTTTGTTAGTGACATGGA